TCCCGGTGCCAGTTATCCAAAGGAGTGAAACCCCTCATTCCGGGTTTCTCGGCATTGGCGATCCCCAAAAGTGGGATTTTTCCTCCCGGATTGGCAGCGCTGGGGAGCACCAAGGGCTTTGCTGGTGGCAAAGTGAAGCCAACACGGAGATTTTGGTAAATGCTGGGGGAAGAAAAAAAAAACCAGACCCGGAGGTGCCAGAATTTCCCTGCGAAGGGGAGGGCCTTGGGCTCTAATTAGGTAACGAGTTAATTAGGATTAATTAGTTACTGTTTGCAAAGCACTGTGGAGATGAGACGCGCCGGCTTCCTGCCTGCTCCGTGGAGGGCTGTGGGGTCCGTAAGGAAAGAGGGGTCCGGGGTGAAATCCAGCGGCATGGGGGCCTCTGGGAAGGAGGTGGGATGCTCCCGACATTCCAGGGAGGGGCAGAGCTGTGCCGGGATGGAGGCACGGAGCAGGCACGTCCCGGCGTGCCCATCCCGCGGCCAAGGGCCGAACATTCCAGCACCGCGGCTCCTCCTCGGGGCCTCCCGCCCTTCCCGCCGGCATTCCCGGCACACGCCGCACGTGGCCGGGAGACGAGTTTTCCCTGCCCGGCGGCTTTGCCGGATCACCCACATCCTGGAATGCTCTGGAACCGCAGCAGGGAAGGGCCATGTATCCCAAAAAGATCGGGAATCAAGGCACGGAGGAGCCCTCCCCCACCCCCCCGGCCTCACACAGGGTTTACCAGGAGGTAACAAAGCCAATTTACTAATTAACAGGGATTAATTTCCCTGTTTGCCCAAACCACCCTGTGGTTTCCCAAGGATCCACCAGGATGAGTGTCAGCAGTGCTATGATGCTCTCTCTCCATCGCCCCAAATTCCTGGGAATTTCAGCCAAACGCTCGGGATACAATGAAATAACCCATTAACTATAGGAAATCCCCCCCCCTCCCCATCCCTGAATCTAGATTTGGGGAGGAAAAAAAGAGGATTTTTCCCCTCTTTCCACGGTTATTTGATATCATTCCAGCCGTTCCTCAGTCCCCGGAGGGTCCCGGAGGGGAGACACGACCTGAATTCCTAATGCAGGAAAACAAGCAGAAAAAAAAAACACCAACCCCTTTTGGTTTTTTTTTTTTTTTTTTTTTTTCAGCTGTTTCCAAGCTTTTGGGGCCTGGAGGGAAGAGAAACAAAGCGGGTGGTTATTCCCTGGAAGGAGGGGAGAAGGGATGGGGGGTACCCAGGGTTGGGGGGGAAGGGGGGTGATCCAGGGGTGAGAGCCGAGGAGTTTGTTCCCGTTGGCTCCCAGCCAGGTGGCCACGCTGCTTCCCAAATATGTGGCTCAACTTCCCCCTGGGAATTGTGTCCCCAGGCCATCCTTCCAGCTCCCCTTCCTCCCACTCCAGGGGTGCCTCCGCCGTGTCCCTGATCCTCGAGGGGGGAAGGAACGGATCCCTGGGGATCCTGGGGGTTGGACACCTCGTTATGGGGCAGCTGGTGTTGCCACTGGTCCCAACTGGTCCCCCCTGTGGTGACACGGGAGGGGACAGCAGACACCCAGCGCCCAAAACTCCTCTCTGTGGTTTTTGGCTGAATTTGGGGTGTTTTCAGTGTCACCCATGGGGTCACCTGGTCACAGAAAGTGGGGTGGGCAGGGGGGTGGAGGGACAGACAGACGGAATGAGAGATGGAGGGATGGGGGTAAAGGGGCATGGAAGGACAGATGGACAAAGGGATGGGTGGAAGGACAGAGGGATGGGGGTAAAGGGAGATGGAAGAATAGATGGACAAAGGGATGGATGGAGGATTAGGGGCTGCACAGGGAAATGGGTGGATGGGGGAGCAAGAGACCCGTGGATGGATGGAGGGATGGATGGATGGATGGATGGATGGACAGAAGGACAGAGGGATGGACAGATGGAGAGATGGAGGGAGGGACAGCTGGATAAAGGGACAAAGGGATTCAGGGACGGATAAATGGGCAGATGGAGGGATGGAAGGGGGATGGAAGGACGGATGGACAAAAGAATGGATGGAAGAATTCAAGGGCCAGACATGGAGAGGAGTAGACAGGGAACTGAGGGATGTGTGGACAGAAGGATGGACAGAAGGATGGACAGAGGGAGGGATGGAGGGACAGACAGAGGGATGGACAGGGGGAGGGACGGACTGATGGATGGTTGGAGGGAGGGAGGGGCAGAGGGATTGAAGGATGGGGATACAGAGGGATGGAAGGACAGATGGACAAACAAATGGATGAAGGGATAAGGGCTGGATGAGGAGACAGATGGACAGGGGAGGAAGGGACATGTGGATGGATGGATGGATGGATGGATGGATGGATGGATGGATGGAAGGACAGAGGTACAGAGGGAGGGAAAAATGGACAAGGGGGTGGACAATGGGAGGGACGGTTGGACACATGGAGAGACAGAGGGATGGACAATGGGAGGGAGGGATGGATGGACAGAGGGATCAATGCATGGATGGAAGGAGCGATGGACAGATGGAGGGACAGAGGGATAGGATGGATAGACAAATGGATGGATGGAGAGATTAAGGCCTGGATGGGGAGATGGCTGGACGAGGGACAAAGAGATGGGTGAAGGATGGACAGCCAGAGGGCTGGACAAATGGAGGGACAGAAGGACAAGGGACAAAAAGTCAGATGGACAAATGGAGGGATCGAGGGCTGGACAGGGGAGAACGGGACGGCCGGAGGGACAGCCAGAGGGACAGACGGAAGGCCCGAGGGCGGGGCGGGGCAGAGGCAGCGCCGGGCCGGCCGGACAGACGGACAGGCAGGACGGGGCCGGAGGCTCCGCGGCCCCTTTAAGCGCCCCCCGCGGGCGGGCGGTGGAAGGCGCCGGCCGGGCCGCGCCGCGCGGGGGACAATGGGCGGGGGCGGGACCACTGTGGGAGCGCGGGGGGGGCGGGCAGGAAGTGCCGCGCGGCCGCGCCCCCTCCCGCTCAGACACCCCCCGCCCGTCGCGGCGGGGCCGCTCTGAGGCGGCGGCGGGAGCGCGGATCCCCCGGGACCGGGATCGGGAGCGGCGGCGGCACCGGGAGCGGCGGCGGGTGAGGGCAGCGGCGCCGGCGGGGAAGGAGGCGCGGGGCGGCGTCGCACGGGGCTTGGCGGGGGCCGGTCTCGAACCCGGGTCCTACTGGGAGCGGGGGGCGGGCTCGAACCCGCGGGCCCCGGTACGGCCGCCGGCACAGCCCCGATCCCCCAGTCCGGCCTCACCCTGGTACCCCAAATCCCGTCCCGATACCCCAATCCGGCCCTGACACCCCAAATCCCGCCCTGAGCCCCGGCTCCAGACCCGACACCACAAATCCAGCTGCGATCCCCCTAATCCAGCCTTACCCCGGCACCCTAAATCCCGCCCTGACACCCCAAATCCAGCCTCACCCCAGTACCCCAAATCCAGCCTTGACACCCCAAATCCAGCCCTGGTCCCCAGTCCCAGCCCTGATCCCCAAATCCAGACCCGACACCCCAAATCCAGCCTATTCCCCAAGTCCAGACCTGACACCACAAATCCAGCTGCAATCCCCCAAATCCAGCCTCACCTCGGTACCCCAAATCTGGCCCCGATACACCAAATCCAGCCCCGACACCCCAAATCCAGACCCTCCAATTCACCCCCTTTACAGTCCTCCAGCCCCCCTATTTCATCCTGACCCCCCCATTCCCCCCTTTGTAAGCCCCCCATTGCCTCCTGACCCCCCTATTCCCCTCCATTGCAGCCCCTACAATGCCCCTATTGCACCCTGACCCCCC